GGGTTTAGGCGTTTAGGGTTTATGGGCTATAGCATATCTCGCGTGCAGTGATCTTACAGCGTTCATGTGCTTGCGAAGCGGTTTCGAAGGATCTGCCTCTGGCTTTATCGAGCTGTTGCGTGCTTCAACCATGTTTACCAGCCGTTCGGGATGTTTTACACTTTCCTTTCGCAACCGGTCCTTAGCAAAGACACGCGTGCACATCCATGCGATGGCTGCCTTCAATCAAAATAAATCGAAATATGCATCCAAGCTAGATGCACATACACAAAAATGGACAGATAGATCGACTGCTTAGACAAGCAATGCCACCATCACACGCGGCTTTCTGAGCCCAAGCGCGCATCCGGATCTCAGGATTCTTACAGGTGTTGGACCAGTAGGGCTACCTGGACCCCCTAAACTCCCACCTTTCTAAGGACTCATATAAAGAAACCAAAACAAGGAACTCTAAAAAGGTAGGTTCTTGGGGGTTAAGCTATGTTTTCATGTCCACGGTTTAGGAAATCCTTTCCTGCGCGTGCGCTATCAGTGAACGACATCATAGCCAAATCTCAAGCAGTTCACGTGGTCTAATTGCGTGCTCGACAGTTAAGAGTTTAGAACAAGGCTCGACCATAAACCCTAAACCCTATAAGCCCTAAACCCTAAACCCTAAATCCTATATACCCTAAACCCCAAACCCTACAAACCATCCGCCCTAAAACCATACCCCAAGCCAACTCCACGCTCTCAACCCCTTCGAAGCCTTGAAGGAACCCTTGCAAGAACCCTCCAGGAACACGTCTAGGAACTCCTAAAGGGTTTAGGGTTGAGGGTCCTACTGTTGATGATATGAACCCTGCATTACCTTAAGGATCCTAAACTATGGGAAATATGGTATGTTCCTTATTATGGGTAATGCAGGATATATACCATCAACTGTAGTAATAAGTAGTAAGGCCCCCAAACCCTACACCCTAAATGCACCGTTGCACCAGTAGTGTCGGAGCCTGGAGGCACGAACCGCCGCCACCAGAGCCGGATAGTCGCAGAGTCCTACGTCTCTGGTCTCGGCTTTTTGTACGTACCTATTGCTATTGCAGTCATATTTGGTACTACTTGTTTCTGCTAGCAATGGTAGTAGCGGTTGTTGTTGTTGTTGCTGCTGCTGATGTTGCTGCTGCTGCTGCTGCTGCTGCTGTTGCTGCTGCTGTTGCTGCTGCTGTTGCTGTTGCTGTTGCTGTTGCTGTTATTGTTGTTGTTGTTGTTCTTGTTGTTGTTGCTGTTGCTACTGTTGCTGCTGTTGCTGCTGTTGTTGTTGTTGTTGTGTTGTTGTTCTTATTGTTGTCGTACGGTGGTTGCCGTCGTAGTCGTAGGCGTAGCGGCAGTGAGGGGTGGTACCCGTAGTGGTAGTGGTCGTGGTTGTGGCAGTGGTGGTTTTCAAGTAGCACAACTCCTACTACGACGACGACTACTACTACAACGGCTACGACTACTCCTACCACTACTACTACTTCTGCTGCTGCTACTACTACTACTACTACTACTACTACTACAAGGACTACTACTACTACTACTACTACTACTGCTACTACTACTACTACTTCTACTTCT